ACACAGGCCAGTTAAATCCCCTTATTCACACGGCATTCATAAACATCTGATCATCAAAAGCCCTAATTAACAGACATCACTCAAATAAGTAACGCACATCTCGCCGTTGTAATCAAAGCTTCAAAATGTCGTTATATGGCCGGTACTTGACGATCCTACGAACTGTGCACAGGCCTATCGCAAACACGAACTGGAAAAGTTCAGTACCTGTTTAAAACGTCATTACTAACAGCAGAAAAGTACTATAGTGACTGATGGTTAGAAGTCGGAAACGATCTAGTTGAAATTTATAGCGTAGCAAGTTTTCCTGAAATGGATTGTATTATTTAATATTCTATTTATTCAAACAAACATTACGGGAGATTGCATCAGTCGATAAGGCATCCCTTGTCCTTGGCCTTAACACACGGCAGTTTAATCTTTTATAAAAATAACCAAATATTGGCTGGGTAAACTTTTTAAGCTCGAGCAGCCCCGTTTTAAAGCCATTCAATATAGGGATTAAACGTTTTAAGCGTTTTCCGGGAATGAGCAAAAGTTTTTTTTTTTTTGCTCAGAATTAGAGTATTTAAATTTTTAAACCAGAAAACTGAAAAAACCGTAACCCAACCAAGTAATTCTTTGTTATAAAGTCGCAAAAGACTGGTGCTCTAAGCACTTATCAGCTCACAGTTTTCAGCATGTGACTGGCCTTGAGTCAACAGAAATAAACTTCAAAAAAAGCAACCAAACAAACCACTATTTCGGTGATGATTTTAAGGACGTCGTGAGATTCATAAAGTAGAAAAAAAAGTGGGAAGATTACGTTTTGCAGTGACTGTCGGGAACCATTACTTCTCACAAACTATAAATCTATGTTAGACTTGACAAATCAAATTTTCATGATTTTGGCTCTGTGGAATTGACCTTCAAACCAAATATTTTTTTTTAAATCTGCTTATCCCAAGGGCACGGTTCAGCTGGCCTTCGCAGTTTCAACAACCGGAACTTCTAGTTATGTTTCACCTTTCAAAAAAAGAACCCTTTAAAATTATAAAAAACGAGAAAAAGGAGGATTTATATTACTCTTTTCAAACGGTTTAAAAGCTTGCTCTAGTAATGGTACATTAGTAAAATAACAAAAACCAGCGTCAAACAGTCGCTTCAGTTACAGCAGCCCCCTTTAAAATACGCTCAGTAACGTTTATTCTATGTGGCAAAGCGACCACAGCTTGAACTTTTTTCTCATATTTGACTCATGCAACCTCTTTAGACCAGGCGAAGAATGATAAGCGAATTGCAGTTTCCGTACTTGCAGTAACGGTAAAAACTATTATGAAATTGGAGTGTGAGTATTGAAAACTACTCTACAAGAGTTGTTCTTGCATGCTTCTAGAACTGTAAATACTAGCATTACAAGAATTAGAAGAAAGGCAGTAACACAGTAGCGCTCTTGTCTGTCTCTTAATGCACGATTTTACGAATTTAGAAATTAATGAACTGCTGTCGACGAGTTCACAGTATTACTTACAGTGGAAGCATGACGTCTCGGTCAAATTTTGATTTCTTTATAAGATTCAAAATTTAAAACTACTGAACTTTTATTTGTATGGATCCTCATTGGCTTGATAAACAATTACCATAAAATAAAAAATTTATTCACAAACAACCAGTTAACCAGCACATGTATTAATACATTATAAATTAATATACTGCGCAGACCAACAACAAAATCGTAGAAAATAAGGTTAAAATTTCTCGGCCAGCAAGATACTCGAAAGTGGACCTGTAAAAAAAATCAAAATACTTTCTTCCAGGTTGGCGAAGAGTTGCGCCATGTTTAGCAGCCCATCGAAGCCAAAATCCTTCGGCGTCACGATACAAAATACGCTGATCAACTGCCATTGCCCCAATTTTTTTTGCCCTCGTCGAGTACCTAAATATCCAGACGGGAGAAGGCACTTCTGTACCATTAAAAAAAAGACAATATCTAACGCAAAATTTAAGGAAGCGAGCGTTTATTAGATCAAGTCACCAGTTCTTCAGCTCTTTTGCTGGTTATTCATCATTTGTAGGAATAACCAGGAGTACTTATCACCATACCACTATGCATATCAAAGCTGTAATCCTTCAACAGAAATACTTTTCTGTCATAACACAACCAGTAGTAGATCACGCTGCAGAAAGCTAAATTTTGATTCAAGAGGTTTTCACACTTTTTGATACTCCGTCAAGCCTTAGTCCGCTTCCCTTTAAACGAAGTGTTTCTTTGACCACTAGCAAGCGAACGCAGGAAGAAAGAAGTTTTGAACAACACAAGGAACATGACAAAGATCCATGAAGAAAGTCTGTCCTCGTCTATTTCACAAATATCAAAGGTTGCTTCCCCTCCGGCATAAAGTAATTGTAACCACAAAGAGAAGATAGCAATGACAAAATAGCACACCTAACAGGTAATCAACTAAAGAAACCCCAAGGTTCTGAACTATAAGGATATGCAGTTGAGACTGTTGCAAATTTTTCTAAATACCACCTACTTTTCAAGATTATCTTCCATTTCCTTTATGGAAGCTGCCAGCCCACCTATCCATAAATTTCGCGCTCTTTCAGATATTCCTGATCCAAGATCAATAAGCCGTTGTATGTTTGAAACTTGATCTCCCTTTAAAAGTTTCTTCAAACAGAGTCTTGAAAATATTAATAACTTTAAGTTAAGCTGAAATTTTAGAGCGTTTTCAAAACTTTTACAGTTTTCAGAGAAAGCAAGCAATTTTGAAGCTATATGACAAAGCATATTTCTAAACACCTATTTCCGTTCTTCCATAAGATCCACAAAATTTTTTCTCTGAAATTTAAGAGTTGTTGATATGAATGTGAAAGAACGAGGTTAGGGGTAAAGTATAGAGTTTTGTCTTATAAACACATATCTGCCTAAGCTATGCACGAACAAATTATGTCACATATCGACTTGTATCGACTGTTTGTGAGTCCTTCAGTATGCAGAAAAGACAATAAACTACTTCTGATAAACAAAAAATCGTACCTGTAATGGGACACCAATGACTGGTACACCAAAATAGAGGAGTTCATTGACTGTGTTTATTCCGCCATGGGAAATAAAATAAAGTAAGTTTGGATGGGCTATAACGGTAAAAATTGGTTGTTATCGTTTAAAGTTAGGAAAGCTTGAAACTCTAGTGATTAATTAAACTTGTTGTGCCTGATTACTACAAAAGTTTGACAATTTGTAAGCTACTGTTGACGTCTTTTTAAAATAAACGAAAAATGTGGGATTTGGTTATTTTTCGCTAGAGTTCGTAATCAGTTACAAGATTTAAAGAAATAAAAATGGTGTAAGCTGCGCCTCCGTACCAAGCAAAATTTTGAGAGGAACCCATGGTGACAAAATAACATTTGGCGGAACTGTACGATTTTTTAAATAGTTACGTGCTTCGCTATTAGTCTGCCAAATAACCGTATACGACAGGTTCCCAAGTGTGTCCAAAAACAAATCAAATAAAAAGTCAGGCATATTTTCAACCTAAAACAAATTCGTTATCAGAAAAGTTTAAGTATCCTAAGGGACTATAACTGTATAAGTTAAAAACTGAAATAAGAATAGAAATGACTGGAAAATGAAGAACAAGTAACAATTAACAATTTTTTAACTAAATTCCTATTTGTCTGCAGCCAAATAATTATTTGTTTTATAAAGAAGCCAGCAGGAAAGCTACTTTGGTAAAGGTGAGCAAGAACAATTTCAACCTTCGCGAGGCTTCCGAAGCTGATTAGTGCAAACTTGCTTTTTTCAAGCTTGTAGAAGTCGATATCAGGGTGTCGTCGCTGCACTTCCAAAAATCTTCGAACTTTAATGTTATTTCTCAGTAAAGTGGCTAAAAATACAACGGAGCTGATTAAATAAGATAATCACTGCGTGACCGAGATACAGGAATGCAGATTATGTCTTTTCAAAAAAAAAAAAAAAAAA